TCTTGAGAAACATTCTCTCCATGAACAGGCACAGTGCTGGCCAAGTTTTCTCTGAATCAGAAAAATCATGATCAATAATAGCAAAACAAGCTTATAAATCTGAAAGAACGAAATCCTAACCTGTAGAAGCCATAGTGATGTTGAGGCACCCCAGCAGCCACAGCAGCTAGAACCCCCACCAGCTCCGTCATGTTGTTCCTAAGGTTGGAGAAGTAGGGCTCCACGCAGAAATTCTCCAGGCCCATTTGGACCAAAATCCCCTTGTGTTGCAGAGACGTTCCAACCAGGAAGTGAGTGGAAAATTCTCTGAGGTGTCTTAGGCGTTCCCTGAAAAAGTATGATAAAAAATAGAACACCTGAAATTGCAAACCGATCCAAATAGCTGTTATTTTCTAATTTCTTTTTCTTGTAAAAACAAGCAAGTTTTCATCATCTGTACATGTAATGGCAGGTATTTCATGGATGGAACCATCTGGGCTCCAAGTAACCTGTCTGCACTTATGCAGAAAGGATGCTTGGAGGCCAGATAAGTAACAATATGATACTGCAGCTGCAAATGCAGTCTGATACCTGTTAAAGAGTTCCTCTTTGTTCAGCTCTGGGTCATCCTCAGTCATCCTCTCCATGAAATCACTCTCTTTAGATGTTTCCTCCACAAACTGCACCAGATCCGGTGCCAACGGCTGCAGCAGCACGCAGATGTGAGGGCGACTGTTGGACTTCAGTTTCTCTACTGCGACTGCGTCCAGCACAGCTTCCTCTGTCATGGCGAGAGACGAGCCGCCGGCGTTTGTTTGCGTCGACGACACGGACTTTAGCATGCTGACCTCTGGATCTCCAGGCCAAAAGGAGATCTGACTGACTCCAGCTGAAGGGAAGGAAATTAAACCTTTAGGTAGAACTTTGGAATCATAGAGCAATTCCAAAGTTCAGTGTGTTTTCGAGGTGAAAAAGCGGCTAATAAAATCAGCGAATGGACGCAATAAAAATACATAATCGTAAATATCTGTAATTACTGCTGCCTTTAAGCAATCTTTATCTAGCTACAGAAGCGTATTACATTCATATAGAAAAAGAGAAATTGCTGTTTTTTTCCCCCAAATTAAGATAATTTTTACAAAATAAATCTAAATAATATTTTCTGAATTAACTCATTTTTACTTTCTTTCGGGATTCAGACACTGGTTGCTACTCATGGCCCGGTTGTTTCCCCCCTCCCTCTTCTCTTCATGGTTTATCTTATTAATTCAGGAAAAATACAGAACGTTTTTATTTATTTTTATAAAAAATTAAGCCGTAAATAAAAAAAAAAAACAGACCAAATTCTTTTTTTTTTTTTCAGGTGAATGCAATACGCTCCTGTATATAGCTATGTCTCTTTCCTTATTTAGTTTCATTATTAGCTTATTTCAAATGGTGTTAAACTCCCTGCTTCCCTTAACATTTTACACACAATACCCCAATATTTCAGTGTTACAGATTTATCACAATTAATTAAGGAAGAACGTATATATTCATGTTTAAATTTTAGATGAAGTACATGCAGCTTAAATTGAGCGACCTGACATAAATTCAAGTAATTGGACATGATTTGAAAAGGTACACAACTCTCTATATAAGGTTTCACTTTTCAGAGTGCAAACATATGGCTTGACAGAATCAAATGCGGCAATAGAAAGTATTTAGTCCAAAGAAAGCAGTAGGAATAATCTTATACTGGAAATTCAAGTTTGTTTAGATTGCACAGGGATGGTATGGATATACAGTTTTGTTGGGTACCAGCTAGTGTTGCTGCGATACTGCAATAAATGTTGGTATCGGTATTTTTGAGTACTGACAAATAGGGCACCAATACCATTTTGAGAGCCAAAAGTTTATGCAACTATTGTCACCCATTCCAGGCAGGCAATAAAAGTTCTACTGGATTCACTTTGTATTAGTCTTTTTCAACAAAGCCATGATGTAATTATTTTACATCCAAGTAGTATGCAGTTCTTCATATATACACAAACGCATCAATTTCAAACAGTTGGTATCGGCCGATACTGCACAGCCAGGTATCGGGGCCAAAAAATGGCATCGGTGCAGCACTAGCACCAGCACATCAAGGGGTAAAAGGAAACAAAACAGCAGATAAACTGGCTAGAAAGGGTGAAGAGAAGGAATTAATGTTACGTATTCAATTTGGGAAAGATGGGAGGAAAATAATAATAAAAGGAATAAAAATCTGGGAGAAAAGATGGAATGAAGGCAAGAAAGCGAGAGACTTTTATAGAATACAAATATCAGAGGAAAATGAATAATGATGAGATCGCTGGTAGACTATGTTTTACTAAAATACAGCGTCGTTATCGAATAGGGGGAAAAACAATGATAGTTGTGTAGTTTGTGCCGAAAGGGGAAATGTTTCACACATAATGAAGTGTCGTACATTAAGATGAGGGAGAAGATAAAGAAAAGGGAGCAAAAGGCAGGATGGGAATGGAGTTTAAGAGATAAAAAGCTGGGAAGAATACAAAAACATTTCTGCGCCTTTGACGGGCCTGACGAGCCAAGTGGGCTCCATGGATCATGAATGGAAGACAGTCGGCTGACTGTCGGCGGGGTGATATGAAACCTCAAGTTCACTCTGTCAAAGCTCCATTATCCCTCGGTGGAAAGAAAAGAACGTTCCAGAAGAACAACCATCCCTGCAGCAATCCCCCAGCCAAGCCAGTATGGCGGAGAGGCCAGATGAACACCACTCCTTAATAAAAGGAATCCTCTCTAAAGTTTGTCAAAAGGCACCTGAAGGACTCTCAAAATAAACTTTTTTTGGTCTTACAAGAAAAAGATTGAACTCTTTGGTGTGAATTTCATATTTGGAGGAAACCAGGGACCCTTCATTATCATACACATTCCATCCCTACAGTGAAGCATGGAAGTGGCAGCATCATTCTATGGGTTTTTTCCCTCTTTCAGAGGCAGCAAATAGCAGACAGCGACACAAGAATCCAGCAGTGATGTAGCAATGGAGAGAGGAGCGTTCCTAACCTCAATGTGGAGCAACGGCCCAAATCAAACAATCAAGATGTCAAAGGAGAGGATCAAAAGCAATCTGTGACTCTGTGAGTCTCCCGAAGAAGCCAATCTAGAATCCAGAAGTATACATACAGACGTCTTTCATCCATCCTGATGTTGCTGAAATGGGTCAAACTGCCTGCAGATAGGTTTGCTAAGCTTTAGGCATCCAAAATACTTGAAGCTGGAATTGCTGCTGGAGGTGGAACAACAAACTGTTCAGCAAAGGCTGCACATGGTTAATTACTATGTATTTGACTTCTTGATCTTCTCTTTGTAATAAATGTGCAACAATCTATAAAATAAAATTACTGTTTGTCATAACGGGGTATTGCGTGTTGAATTTTGAGGGAAGAGATTGATTTAATACCTTTTGGAATAAGGCTGTGATATAGCTAAATATGGGAGAAGTGCAGCTCTGTGAATACCATACTTCTGACCTGGTGGTCTGTTTTTCTCTGTTCTTGGCTCCTTATTTTTTGTTAATGTACAATGTTGCTTTAGACTCAGTGCTTTGATGCAATCAGGTGTACATATCTTGCTATAAATAAACTGAATTCATCTTTCAAACATCCTTCTCACCATTTATGATCATCTTAAGGCAAGTGGCACATGGTCTCCTGGAGAAGTAGAGCTGACAGTCGGCCAGGTTTGCACCATGCTGGATGATAGCTGCTTGTCCAGCGTGAAGTTCAGTGCCTGAACAATGGAGTCCCAAAACTTTCCCTTCCTGTATCACTACCAGACCAGTCCTGTTGATCTAAATGCAGCACAGACTTGGTTAAAAATGTAAAACAATGATGCTTCTATTTAATGCATTTCACTAACCTGACTATTTTCACTGTCTTCAGGTTGCTCCCGGGGGAATAACTCCATCCACAAACTCAGCAGGGTAAACAGGTTCACCTTTGACAACCTGGGGCCATGACCTTGGTTAAGACATCACACAATTAAAATATTGCAATTGAGAATTATTTAAAAATGCTGGTGAAAATGTAGGCAGAATATATTACAACTAATGCATAATCAAGTCATAGCTCATCAAAGCAGATTTAATTCTGGACATGTCCTCATGGCAGTTTATTTCAGTTATTCTTAAATGCAAATATGAGAATTTTCTAGGATGTATGAGCAGTTTAAAGTGAGATTATTATCCTGATCAGTACAATAAACACCAAATCGTGTATCAAAAGCAGCAGTCATTACATTTTCTTTACGTTATTACATGTTCTTTACGTTAGTAAACCAGCTGTTATAGTAAACCAGAAAACAACATAAAGCCTCCTACATCCAGCTCACCTTGTTTCCTGCTGTCAGTCTGGGTGCTGCTCTCTCTTGTTTCTCGACACGGATCGGACTGGTCCGGTTCGACTCGGTTCCATTTGATGCTATCGTCCATTCGGAACGTAAAGCAGGAAAAAGACTAATTTTGTTTCAGTTGCAGACGTAAGATGAGGAAGACTTCTTCGGGTATACACATAAACCTGGCTTATAGCTGACTAGTGGTTTCCGGCAGGGACTTTCAAAATAAAAGCTGTGATTAGCAGTAGCCATCATACTACCGACCATACATATTTAAAGTTAGCGATAATAGCGCTCCAGTGTAAAAAAAAACAACAACAACTTTTACTTAAAATGATTAGAGATTTAACAACTAACACATCAATATATTGTCATTTGTACGACAAACAATTGTTATTCCGTAGTGAACTTCACCTAACTTCTCACATCCGGTTTACTTCCGCAAAAATCCCGGATGTGCGCCAGTGACCGATGTAATAAGCGCCGCCATATTGTGAGTGGCTCCCCCCTCCCCAAATAGTATGCGCACACAAAACGATAGCCACAAAAGCTGACATTTAAAAAGGCAGGTATGCTTATGAGATACATTACTTTGAGTTAAAAGTCAATAAGACAAATATTTCTTATTTTAAGGTTTTTATTTCTTCAGAGAAAGAGCAACTAAAAACTAAACATGTATAATATATATAAAAACAACAGAATAATTGCAAGTATTTAACAGCAGAAATAACAGTAACTCAACTTTCGGGATTCCGGAGTTGTGTATTTAAGTTGCTTGTAAGTAAGAGCTTCAAAAATAAACTATAAAAGTACATGTTAAGAAGAAAATAATAATAATAATCTGTAAACCTCAACTCTATAACTGCCCTGTAACCTGTTTTACTAGATCTGAACAGTCCTTCAAACACCCACATAAGGTCCAAGTTCAAATTCTTTCCAAATAAAGATCTTTTAGGAGACATTTACGATCATCGGGAAAAGGAAACCTAAGGTAGGAAACCGAAACTGATATCCCTGTCCTGTTCCGGATTAATTTGGTCAGCAACACATTTCTGTTTGTCAAGCACACCCAGGCAGCAAGATTTCCATTCAATCTTTGGTAACTGTATAATAGACACAAAGAAACACCTAAAACAGTAGACAAAATGAGGTTTTGAGCTGTTCTAGGGTTTTACATTTCCCCTGAATTTGTAGCAAAACCAAAAGAACATGAATCGCACTTCCATCTATTGAGAACAGAGAGGCTGCTTCTCTCTGTTCCAGTGGATCATATGAATACAGTAATGTTATTTCTCACAGAGCTTTAAATCCACTTCATTATGTTTTAATAAGCAGAGTAACAAGACAACGTATAATATTGTAACAGAGTAAAACTTCAGCTAAGATTATAGTGCAAAATTCTTAAAGTCTGCTCTCAAATCTCTTTAAAAAGCTAAATTGACTTAGTAGTTCAGGCAAGCTTAAGTGCCTCAGAGCAAAGGCCAAACTAAAACAAGGCCAAAGGAATAGTAGCAATTAACCAAATGACCTACATTCCATTAGAAATGACTGGAAAAGATTCTTGAATCTAACATTTCAAAGGTGCCTCGAATGTATCACACAGATGAGCTGTAGTACAGCGCGACTTTCTTACTCTGGCACGCATGTGCAGTCAGCTGAACTGGAATGTAATAACTGCATAATCAAATTGCATAAAATAAACACATGCAGCCTGTAAGTGTTCATATTGGTGAACATTCAGAGTGACTCCACAGGAACTGACCAAAGTGCTGATTTAAAATCCATAGATATGGTCCGGTTCAACACAGTGTGCAATATACTTGAAGCTTTATTCCTTTTGAGGTGGATCAGCAGAAATCTGATCATTCCTCCATATGTGGAGGATTGCTCTGCTGAACCTGCAGCATACTTGCTTTTAAAATGCAAGAAAGCAAGAGCAGCGCTCAGTTTTTGAAGGCTCCACAGCGACTGGCTCGGCTGATGAACTCTTTGAGCATCCTTCCATCGACTTGCCAGAAAGCTGCAGTCTGAGTCACCTGAGTCAGATGGTTTACACAAAACTTAAAGCAAAAATCTTCTAGATCCTAAAAAGAAGAAGAAGAAAAAAAAGGATGGCAGATAAGTGGAAGACAAAAATATCAACGGTGCTCCATTTTTTTTGTTTAACAGAGACAAATTTTAAAGTTCTACATAGATTTGCACTCAGCTCCAATGAGGCAATACTTTCTAGAACCACCTTTGACTGCCACTACAGTTGCAGGTTATTTTTGGTGTCTCTACCAGCTTTGCATATAGAAATCGACATTTTGACCATTATCTTTAGCAAATTACTGTAGCTCATAGCTGTGACTGGCTGGTGAGCATATTTGAACACACATATCCAAGTACTGCCACTAATTTCATGTAGGTTTGGACAAACAAGCATATAATAGGGTCTAATCTGAGTTAATCACAGTCTCTAACTGCTGTTCTTGCAGGATTTTCCTGTTAAAGGTGCATAGTCACATTAGATGCCAATAAAAAAAATAGACCACTAACCATTAAATAATCATAAAATAAGGCTATATAAAGCAAGCATAACCTATTCTTTACCTCATGCACAGAGGCACAGTCCTGTATCTCTGGTTAAGCTTTCGTTTATTTAGAAATAAATTGAGAAAAAAACAAGTTTAAAACACAAAGATAACAAATAATACTCCAGCAGGATGCGGTAATCTATATGAAACAAACTTTGTAAGCAACAAGATTGAGTTTCTGGAGAATAAATTCTAAAAATGTCATGTAACGTGACTATGCCCCTTTAAGCTTAAAAAAAAAAACAGATCCTTTGTTTCCTCTTTAAAAAACACATTTATGCTCTACTTTGTCTTGTTCTATCATGGAAAATCCCAGATGTTGCAACTTTAAAAAAATAATGTATAAAGCTAAATGACGCAAGCCCCTTTGTGAGGTAAAGTAGAAAATGTAATGACATTTTAAAAAAGGGAAATGTAGACCATTTCTTTTTCAAGCAGCATCACACTGATTTTCATCTTTGCTTTTCTCCAGAAAAATTGAAAATGTTCTTTAGATTATTAGTTTTTGGTAATGTGTTAAACATTGCTGCGCAAATATCAAAATGTTTATTGCACCCTGGTTTAATGATTTCCCCTTTGCATTAAGATTAAAAAAAGTAGAGAGGAGTTCTACCTCTGCATCATATCGAATGGCTGCAGACAGCAGGGTGAAGGCATTCTCTACAGTGATTCCTCTCTTGATTATCTGCTGACACAGATGTTTCAGGTGGTTTTCACAGTAAGACGTGGCCAAATCTAACAAACCTGAAGCATAAAGACGAGAAAAAACACAAACCATATGAAATGAAAAGCCTTAAATACACAGATTAGAAGATATATTTGGTAATATGTCTCACCAATGGCGTCCTCAGGTGGCAGGTCAACGGTGTCTGTGTAGAGAAACTGAAGGAAGGATCGATAGACAGGGTAGGAGAACTGGCCGATCTCTATCACCTCCTGTTGACCCTCTGTCCACTGAGAGCGAAACATGGATCGGAAATGCTCACACCTGATGGCAAAAAGAAGATTTAGGCTGAAGGAAAGCTGTGGATAAGAATATTAATCAAATTAGCTTTTAGGAACATTTGCATCTTCCAGAAAGAACAGAAAACAAACTGTATCCTCAGCTGCAAGAACTCCCCCATGACATCTAAGGAGCTCTAACAGGTCTAACTCTGTGACATTCAAGACCGAAATAATCAAACCTGATCTTAAGGACAGCTTTGTGAACATGGATGCATTTTCCGTCAACGCTGAACTTAAGGTCGGCCGTTTCTGGGCTGTCGAACTCTTTCCTGAGAGCCTCGGAGACCGTCATGAAATCATCGTGCTCTGAAATAAAGTGTAGATTAGATTAGAATTCTCACATTGGAAATGTTTTTTTTTTCAGTTTAGTAATATGTATCCTTAGTATGGGTGGTAAATGTGAGGATGCTGTGAATGAGTTGTCCAAATATTCTTTTTTTAAATATTTTTTACCCATAGATACGAGGCGCCACATCACAGCGGGCGTAGCGAAGCAAGCGAACACATCGTCCGTGCTGCTGAAGTGGGTGAGGTGGGGCAGGGGGATCGACTGGCCTCGACACTGGCCCCACATGAACACCTGCGAAACAGGTACTTAGATTAGTGTTTAAAAAACAATAACACAAGAAGTGTTGATCATATTTTTTTTGCAGTGTTCTAATCATTTATTTATTTTTTTCTAAAGTTTAGGGCAGGATTGAACCTAAACAATGCAGACAATTCCACCTGAATGTGATATTAGCTTAATTTGTTTGGCTGTGAGGCTTGATTTAGGAAAAAAAAGTTAGCTTGACTTGGATTAGCTCTAAATTTGACCGATCAGCTTTATCTGATTAGCTAATTGCATGACTCAGACGGGTTCTAAATTAACTGATTAGCCAAATCTAGTTAGCAGTCAGATTCATTGGGAAAGGTTCTTATCTTAGACTAAAATCTGACTGTTGTTTGATCTAATCAGCTGTTAGATTTACTCAGGTTAATTTTACATAGACAATCTAGCTAAATGTTAGTTCAAATGTATGTAACCCTGCATATCAACACCTCACCTTTCTTTAAAAAACAAAACAAAAAAACTTTTCAGTGGTGCTGTTTTTTTTTTTACATTTTTTTTTTTTTTGCCTTATATCCAGGTTCTTTATAAGCACTTAGCTGGAACACTTTGAAAACTCCTTATTTTGCTGTCAGCAGGTCTTTAATCACGATGGTGTAAAATGCTTTGTGTTCCTGGTTAGCTGGTAGCTTTACCTTTACATGCTGATTTTACTATATAAGCAATTGTGATCTTAGATATAGGATCTGGAACTTTGATTACTTATAGGACATAAAAAAAAAGCTGCAAATTAATTTAATTTACTTTATGGGAAACTTGCTGTTCTTCTTTTGCAGCACTTTCTAAAAATCTCAGGTGCAGGATTTATCTAAATCCTTTTCACTGAAACGTTGACACTCTCAGTTTAGTCATTTTTTACTGTAACTCATCACTAAAACTTCCTAAGAGAAAAATAGGCTTGATGCATTATTCTAAATACAGTCCAAATGTAATAAATATGGCCAACAATACAAAATGGATATGCACCTTGCCGCTTTGAGTCTTCGCTGCTGAAGTGTGCGTTGAGTGGCACGCAGCAATCTCCACAATCCTACAGGGTTACACATGAGTTAATGAACAGGAGTCAAACACATTATATGGTCATTGTTTTGCAGCGTTTGCAGATCAAATGTACAGTGTTATTTTCGTCAAGTGGCAATTCCTTCTGGCTTCCTTTGACAGTTGTAACAAACAAAGACGGGAAGTACGAAGGTTAAATGCTAACAGGAAGAAGAAGCTCTCCTCTCCACTTTACCTCTCTTTGTCAGCCATGATCTGCACTGGACTGAGCTGATTGCTCTTATTGCCAGTTCCTAGCTGACCGTAGGTGTTAGATCCCCAGGCGTAAAGCAGTCCTTCGTCCGTTAGGGCCAAGCAGTGCCCGTATCCTGATACAATCTGAAAAACAGTTGAAGAGGAGCTGAAGTCATTCAAACAAAGCCAATTCAATTATTGCAGAATATTTTAAGTTAAAGCAGGGTATCTAACCTGTTGAATGCAAAGCCCCTGGAGCGCAGTCAGGCGGCACGGAGAAAGGTGATTCCCATTGTTCCCAATTCCAAGTTGCCCGTTTCCGTTATAACCCCACACGTAAACCTGAACGAATAAAACAAAACAGTATGAAGTTCATGTTCTTAAGAGAGACAGAGAGATTAAAAACAGGGAATCTTCACCTCTCCATTGTCGACCAGAGCCATGGAGGAGGTTTGTCCACATGTGATGGCCACAGCAGTCTTCCCCTGCAGGCAGCCGCAAACCTTCTTTGGGTAGGGCTGGTTTGCCGTGGAGCCTGAGCCCACCTGGCCGCAGTTATTATAACCCCACGCAAACACCTGCAGACAGGATGGTAATCTCGTGTTTAATACATGTTTTTAACATTTAAGTATTTGTTTAATTCAGGTTTCATCCATCTATTCATTGCTATTACATTTAGTGTGTAATTTTTAGTATAAAAATGATTAGATTAGTTATTTAAATGACTAAAGTAATAGTTGCAACTATTGGTGTTTATTCTTTATAACATCATAATGTATTGTATTTGCCCCACTTGCTTTTTGTTTTACTGTTTATGACCCGATACATTTTCTGACGTGATGAAACTAACAGCAAACTGGGTCATCCATCAAAATGATGATGGATATTTAAATCATGACCGCCATAATAGGTGCAGAGATATGTTTCGTGTAATGTCTTGATGTTTGTTTGTTTTTTAGTGGCGGGATGTGATTAATATTTTTAACCGGGTTATTTACAATGTTTGTCATTAATGACCAAATAATTGTATTTTAATAGAACACCATATATCAGCAAAATAACCCAGCTGTTCTACTCTAAAATCATTTTTTCTCATCTATTATTGAATAATTAACTATATTACACACAACAAAACATATATATTTTGTTTTTAATCCAACTATTTATGTTATTTATTCTTCCTGAAATCTTTTGTAATGCAAAAAAAAATCCACAATTGCCAATAATTTTATGTCTTTCTACTTGATTACCGTATGTCATTTTAAGCATGTTTAAACATTAATCTACTGTAGATGTAGAAGGCTAGTTCGAGCAGCCTTTTTTTACCAAACCTTTTATTATTCTTAAGTACCTTTTGAATGACAATTTCTACTTTTTCATCTCTCATAAAAAAAAAAAATCTCTGTTACTTTATAATAGACCTAATGCTCACACCTGTCACCTCATGTCTTCTCTATTATGCCCCTTCCCCTTAAAAAGCTGCTGCTATGGTGAAAATATTCCTTGCAAGCAAAAAAAGAGCAAAGAATCTTAATTAATTCTGCTAATTCTAACATCTTCAGCTAGTTTTTATTGGTCTGTTAGGATTTATGCAGACATCCTTTTCCTTCTCCTCCTCTGCTGTTTATAACCTCACAGCCTGCTCTGCCTCTGATCACTTCTCAGCTTTTGATGCACTTCTTTACCTCAATATATCTGTACTTTTTCAAACATTTTGTTGTATCTGATTGGAGACGCTCAGCCTCCGCCATGATTTGTAAAGCATACATGATGCCGGTCAGCTTGAGTGTTTGATAACTTTGCTAAAAAGTGAGAAGAGGGCTGAGATTTCAGAAAAACAAAAAAACAACTGGCTTCATATAGGGCCTAATAGCATACTGTTAAGTTTAATATGATTTGCACATGGATTTTATGAGTTAAGAAAAGCTCAAGCTCCTCTCTGTTTGTATTCATATGAGAAAATGCAGTTAATTGCATTCATTTTTATTGATGTGCTTTGTCTAAAAAACTTTTGGTTTTTTTGAGGGTGTGTTGGATTTAGGTTCCGACAACCTGGCTGGGGCATGGCTAAAAAAGTTATGCTACGTTCACACCGCACGAGATTGAGGCAGCAAAAGCAGGTGGTTTACATGTAAAGGTTGACTCGCATCAAGGTGGATCAAAAGGTCCAGTAGCGCGTTTCGAGCAGCAGAAGCAGCGCATCTTGACGCATCTGAGAAAGTGAGCAGCGCCTAATGAGATTCTGAGCATCTGAGGCGTATGACGCGCTTCACAAGCAGCAGCTGCTGGAGTTAGAAAAATGTAACTTTTTCTGCTCGATGTGCCACATTTACCAATCAGAGAAGCTGATCTGGGAGCCGGCCCGGGAGAAAGACACAGCGCTGCTGATGTAGATCGCTATGATCACTCCTCTAAAACAAATTATTAACACCTAAGTTACCTTAAAATGTCCAAACCTGCCGGAAAAATGTTTGCTTTTATCTTTGTATCACATACGGAAAAAACACTAAAATATACCTCCAGCTGGCACGAATAGTAGCGGAACCCCCCAGCTGCTGCTGCTGGGAATTCTCAGTGGCAGCGCACCACCTGTATGTGGGGATCTGAGCAACTCCAACAGCAAAATAATATTTATTTTGAGGCAGGATCATAATCTTGATGAACTGACTGCACAGACGACGTTTTGAGGTGGACTTTCCTACTTAAAAATATATTAGAACTACTTTTTACCCATTTATCACAGCAAATATAGCAAATCCACTCTCTGCCATTGAACGCAGGAGCAGCAGAAGCATCAGAGCCAACTTTGCTGGACATGCTTTAGGAGCATCAAAGATGCTCTTGACGTGTGTCTGACCATAATGTGTACAAGCATCAAAAGTGAAGCTCTTTTTTGCTGACCAAAGCGCTTCCAGTGTGAAAGTAGCATTAGAACTGCTGACTTAAAAGGATTAACTTAGTTATATTACAAACTTGTTACCAATTATCCAACATAAAATACTTTGTAAGTCCCAATCAAAAAGCTTTGTTTCTTTCCACAAATTAAACATAATGACTTATGCATTTAATGCACTAATTTAAAACAGATTAATTAAATGCATGAAATAATAAGGACCAATTATAGGCAAAAGGGAAAACAAAAAACAAAACTCTTACATCTCCGTCGTGAGTGAGAGCCAGAGAATGATGCGAGCCACATGCCACCTCTGTTACTTTCTTGTTCTGCAGGTTAGCCGTTATCGCCACGGGTGAAAGCCCCACGTTGGTGCTGCCGTTCCCCAGCTGGCTGTAACCATTATGCCCCCAGGCAAACAGCTGTCCATCTAAAACACAACCAAAAGGATCAGCTAATTGTGTCAAGAGACATAAACGGCATGAAAACTACAGCTGGTGTTTAAAGTAGCTAGCCTATTCATAGTGTATTATATAGATCCATTACAAACAGAGCATACAAACTGAAGGATAACCTGCCTTCTGTTGCTAAGAGGACGTGAGGTCCACTGCCGTAGCTGAGGCTGGCTATCTTCTTTCCCTGCAGGAAGTCCAGTTTCTTTGGAACAATGATGCTCACACTGTCACCTGTACCAAGGCAGCCACTGCAGTTCAGACCAAATCCATAGACCTGAAAAAAATGTAAACAAAAACACAGCAACATTGAGCAAATTAAAGAAAATATGCGCATCTTGGGTCAAATATGGCTTCCCGTATTTAAGGTCAGGTCGACTACAATACTTCACTCTGTGCTCCTTTCACCTGACTTCCTGTGTAACTGATGAGGAGTCCTTTCGGCTGCTATCTCCTTAAGGGGTTGCCACAGCAAATTATTAACAAATTCTCACAGAATTGGCAGAGTTTGGAGATTCATACCCATGTCCCCTGCATTACACAAACTTAAACATCTTCACCATTACAGACTGTTGACTTCCCTGTATAACTACTGTATAGAAAGTGAGTTTTGGGCCCAAGTTTCATTAGGTGCATTTCCATTAACCATCAAATTGTGCTAAGTGTAATAAAGGGAATAAATATGCTGATTGGTAACACTGAAATCTGCAAAAAAAAAAAAAACATTTTGCGATTAAAAAGTTGTTAAGCTTCCATTAGGTTTTTTTTGGTCATATCCCGATTGTTATATTTCGCATCACATGAGTCACGTGATCTGGAGCTGGGCTTTACTGCCTACTAAAGAGATGAAAAAGACTGGAAGTATTTGGAGGGGTTATTGCGTGACCAAACGTATTTCAATGCAATTTTTATTGTATTTATTATTTAATGGAAATAACCCAATTGCTGTATTTTGCATTTTTTTATTTAGCAGAGTATCAACATAGTCTTGTGCACATTTGTAATAGTAATGCAACTAGCCTTACAATTCTAAATGGGAAGGAAACATTTGCTAAAAGAAGTAAAATAGAATCTTGCAATTAAAAAAATAGAACATGGATTTGTTTCCAAAAAAAAAAAAAAAAAGCTTTTTTCTCCTCTTTTTTCAAGTGAAGCTTTATATATCATTTGCACTTTTTCTATTTATTTCCAGGCCAGAAATAGAAAATAAAAGGTTTTATGATGGTGAAGATTCTCAGTCATCCAGGTCATAGTCATTCCAAAAAAAGAAAAAAAAAAAACAACCCTCTGGACTTTGTTTTCAAGTTTGAAGATGTTTCACTTCCCATCCAGGAAGATTTTTCAATTAAAAATGTATCGTTGAAACATTTATTAATAGCGTTGATTTCAAGGCTTTATAGAGTGGACCAAAAACAAAGCCTTGTTTTCGCTTAGAAAACATGCAAATTTAACCGGACAAGAAATAATAATAAGGTTGTGACTAATTTTAAAGTAGAACTAAAAGGATCTTTGATGTACAAAGTTTGTAAAAACTCTAAATGTCTAAAATCATTGTCTTGACAGTTTTATTGGAGTATCGACCAGATATACATGTTGTGCTTTTCAGGTTGGATGAAGAACATTTTTTAACAGGATCTTTGAAAATATTTCAACATATTGTGAATTTAGTCCAGGCACACATTGATATAATAAAATGTATGTCGCTCCTTTAAAAGGTTACCAGAGTGGAAGGTAAACCTTCTCATTAGTTTTTTGCAGCCTTTAGCAGGAATTCTTCCCTGATTTTCCCAGCTGGACACCATAGTGCCGTTCATCCTGAATATGGTGCGCTCATTGAAATGTTAAGTATTCATTTTCTACAACTTTAGG